CAATGCTTTGAGAAATTGCCAGTTCAAAACACACCTGTAGGTGGCGGTACCAGTTGGATGGAAGGAATTTGGTCGGAGAAGAAGAGTTACAATTGCATCACTTCCTGTTCTACCAATCTCTTCAAAATAAAAGGGCAAGTGATAACGGCTATTCTTTTAAAGTTATTGGCATAAATGCGGTGGTTTATTAAGCTAAAATTGTACCCTGAAGGGATTTTGAGTAGAGACGCAAACTCGCTGCGGCGGCCTGTTGATAAAACCCCTGAAGGAGCTTCAGCGGTGTTATCTTCTGTGCTCAACGTTAGCAATCTTATTTAGCCTAGCAACATTGGCTGGATCTGGACAGAAACCAGAACATTGGTTGAAATTACAAGGAATTTAACCCTTCCACAAATGGCATACCTTTCACATAGGCTCTCGTAATTAATTGTCGTTATAGCGGGAGTTTCTCGGAATTTACGTCGTGACCGCTCTTCCATGCGGAGCTAGGACTAGCACTTTTAGCTAAGTCAGCTACGAGGCACGGGATTATTAAATACGCACTTCAGTGACGTGTCCAGACTACGGCCACTGCTTCAGAAGTTTGTCTGGAATATTAACCAAAAAGGTATTTTCTCTGGTATGAACTTCGGAATGTTGTCCAGAATTAGGCGTTGGAACGTATTATTAACCGCAGGTGATCAGACTGGGTTATGAATTTAGCTCTGTGCGGCGTCTGACTTTTCTCTGATCCGAGTCACACAAGCAGAAAACAAAAGTGACAAAGTCGCATTCAAATGAACACACATCCACTTCATTGTAACGTGAGGAAATATGGGTTTTCTGTGCCAAAGGTTGTATTTTGCCCGGCTGGGTCAGAGCTGGGTCGCTCAGAACTTTAACCCACAGATTAAGACCTTTGCCGACATGAAGTCTGCAAGAGTCTGCTGCAAACCATAACATCTGCCACCTGCAGTGCCAGAAGATGTTGTTCTCATGGAAGCTAGTCATAATATAACAAAGTCTTAAACTTCCTTTTCTTTATTTTAAATGTTGAACAATCATTATTATCATTTTGCTCATTATAAATGTGTTTTAATCAAATGAATGATTATTATGCTTTGGGTAATCATAATGAACTAATGAATCAATACTTAATTAAATAATGTTTGAAGATGTTTGGTAACGACCTTCATGCACACGCAAACACTCACACACACAACTCTCACAGTAAACTCCAAAACACATTTGCTCTGACGCACACGTTTGCTTTGAGAAGAGAAAGGTTTTTGGTAAGTTTTCAGTTCATGATTCAGTTCGTTTTGACAACGAAAGAGAGAGGACGTGTAACAAACGCTAACGGGGGAACGGAGCCCCACCGGCTCTTGTCCCCCCCCCCCCCCCCCCCCCCCGCTATTCTTGTCAAGCCAGACAGGATAGCTGAATTGCAACCGCTAACGCAGACTCGTCCAGAGTCTTTGATTTCTGAGTAATTTAAACTTAAGAAAGCGCATCTGCAAACGCTTCAACAACGTGTACCGGGGGGGCATCTCTGGACTGGATCGTCGCACACCTTCGTCTCCTCTGCCAGCCAAGGTGTGACCTGAATAAACATCCTCCTGAGGTCCGGATCTGAACTAGGGTCCTCGTACGGTGAGGCAGAACACAATAGATAGCGTTTGATGCATCTTTTCTAATAAGAACTACCGTAAATCCTCTAATACAGGCCGGTATTCAATTAAAAGCCGGGTCTCCAATTGTGGCCAGTGCCGGCGGAGGTGAATAGTGGCCGGTCTCTTATTGTGGCCGGGTGGAATGTGGTAACAGGCAAGTACCACAGGGGGGCGGTAGTGCCATTCGTCTCACTTTTGATTTGCCGGTGATAGACCACGAGGGTAACTACGGTGAACATGGCTGGTGCGGAGAGTGCAGAGGCGAAGAGGAGGCGAAATTTCGATTTAAAGTTCAAAGAGAACGTGCTGATTTATGCTGCAGAACACTCTGGGGAGCAAGCTGCTAAACATTTTAACATCGACCCAAGAAGAATCAGGTACTGGAAAAAGCAGAAGATGGATCTAGCCGCAGCTAGCAAGAAGCGAGCGAGGCTCCCAGGAGGAGGGAGAAAAAAGATTAGCGAAGAATTGGACACGGAGCTTTGTAACTGGATCCATTTAATGAGGGCAAATCATAACCGAGTGTCGAGAAAAATGATCTGAAACAAGGCTTTGGAAATATATCCAACCATGAGTGATGCAGGTGCGCGATTCCTGGCAAGCAGGGGTTGGCTGGAAAAGTTTTTGAACCGAAATGGCTTCGCTTTGCGACGTCGCACCACAATGGCGCAGAAGGATGCTGATCTTCTCACACAGAAACTTGTCTCATTCGTCAACTATGTGAGCAAGACTGTCGTCTCGAAAAGAATTTCAGAGAAAGACATAATTGCCATGGATGAGACTGCTGTTTGGTTCGATATGGTGTCTCCCAGCACCATTGAAGAGGGACAAAAAGTGTCGCGCTCAAAACAACCGGCCATGAGAAAAGCCATCTCACTGTTGTTCTAGCTGCTAAGGCTGATGGCTCTAAACTGAAGCCTTTTATTGTTTTCAGTGGGGCCGTCCGTGAAGTGAAGGCAATGCAGCAAGAAATCACCAGAGCAGTCATTGCTACATCTGCTAACGGCTGGATGAATGACGACTTGACCTCAGCCTGACTCAAAACAGTGGTGGGAAAATTCAGTTTCCACCCGCGCCTGCTGGTGTGGGATGCGTACCGCTGTCACATCAGCGCCTCCACCAAGCAGGAACTGAAGCCCTACAACATCACCACCGCGGTGATCCCAGGAGGCTGCACCAAGTACAAACAAGCCCCCGATGTTGTGTGGAACCAGCCCTTCAAAGCAAGCCTGCATGCGTCTTATGAAGAATGGATGTCTGGCGACACAAACAAGCAATACACAAGTGGAGGGAACCTGAAAGCACCATCTCGCCGTCTGCTTGTGGACTGGGTTCTTGCTGCTTGGGACAAGCTGGACACGGAGCTGGTCATCAAGTCCTTCAAAGTGTGTGGCCAGTCTGTGAAACCCGACGGGAGTGAGGACCACCTCATACTGTGCTTCAGAGACGGACAGGTACGTTGAAATAATGTATCATTATCAGTCTAATTCATCTACCATTAGATGAATTTATTCGTGAGTGAACCTTTCCAATGTTACTTGCAATTGCAGCTAAACTAAAATGTAATGTATGGTAATCTTTGCAGCCCTGCGCTGCTGGACGGCAGGCCCTGACCGCTGCCCGCCTGCGCCAGGATGAGAACAGACGTGCAGCGGAGAATGAGGAGGACGAAAAGGAACTGTTCAATAATGAAGTTGTTATAGAGGATGGCGCAAGTGATGAGGAGACGACAGGGAGAGATGAGGAGGAGGACACTGAGGACGACGAAGATTAAGCTGAATTGGATCCGCCCCCCCCACACACACACACACACATTTTTTTTCTATCAAACTGGATGAGGATTAAAGTGAATTGGATTATTGTTTATTTATTTATTTTTACTTTAAACGGGACATATATTGAATTGAATTTGAGGGGTTTTATTTTATTTTTTACTACAACTGAAGAGGTAAGGTGGCTGTTGCCTTTTCTAATACCGGTATTATTTAATAACATTTAATATACAGTACAGGTATGTTTGCTATTGTTTTGTTACAATACAGTATTTCCCTACTGTAATTTAGCCTTGTTAATGTTTTATATGCAAACTGTACCACGTTATGGTAACTGTACATTTTCAATAAATGAACCTAGTATTTTATAGGTTCAAATAGACACCCCGTTTTTATTCATTCTACTGGTAGTTCATTTTGCTCAAATATAAATAGAGGCCTGCCTCTAATACTGGCCCTCCCTCCAATAAAGGCCTGGGGCTTGAGGAGCTTGAGTCAAATACAGGCCCGGGCCTGTATTAGAGGATTTACGGTAAGTTTAATTCAAACCATCGTTTTCACTCAGACACCTTTTCTCCCCCTGAAGCAAATTCAGACACACACACGCATCCATATCACATCATTTTCAATCTTCACACATCCAACACAAGGTCTTTGTGTGCAAGCTTAAAATATCAACTGTTAAAGATTGTCCAACAAAGTTGCCAATGTTGATTGTTATTTCCTATGCTTGTCATTTCAAAATCATTAGTTTAATTTGAAGAATTAAAACTTTTAATTTTCAAACTTGTCTCTTCATTGAACTGAAACACAGACCCATGGATATTATCGTCAGTTTATAGATTAAAACAACCTTTGAGTCTTCTTAAACTATAAAATTTGGTTATTAATTTATTAAAAATTAATATCTCAAATTAATATGTAGAATGGTTCCTCTTTCATAAAAGAGCATGAACCATTATACTACATAATTGGCAGAGCCTAGCCAGGTTCTCTACATCATTTAGAAGTTGAATGAGGTTGAAAGCAAATGCTTAGTATGGTACTGGTGTATGAAGAGTCAGTGCTCCTCAAGATAAACCACTACCTGGCTGTCTGCCAGGGAGAGGAAAAGAGAGAGGGAAGTTCTGGTTCAGAGCAGAACCTGTGTAATGTAATATAACAAGTCAGAACAAACACGAAGTGTTAAATGATTTGAAAAAGAGTGGCTGGCTCGCCAAATATGTAACGTTACACTACACAGCCTGACGCTACATGTGTCATCTTTATGGAGGAATCTTTTATCTTTCAGTAGTTCAACGTTCTCTCCTGAGTGTCTCTTGATATCTTTTCTTTTTGTCTCTTTTTTCATTTACTGTGTTTTCTTTTCAGAAATATCTGACTGCAGATTAAAAGGCTGCAGCTTAGATCTGAGCTCTTTCTGTTTGACTGTAAAGACTGAAAAGCTGCTAAAACAGTGGAGAAACGTTTGTCAGTGTTAGAAGGGATTCCAGGTCAAGATGCCTCAGGAAACCAAAAGTTACAAACAAGAGTCATCAAAATACCAGATACTGTGTGTGGTGGGTTAAGAGCTTACTTTAACAAAAGTGCTGAAAGTCTCCTGGTTCACCTGATGGGTACGTTTCTTCTCCCCGTCATAAATGAGCTTTGAGCCCACTGGGGTGTTGGTCTGGGTGAGGATGGCTTTGTCAAAACCATTACACTTGTTGTTCAGTTGAGATCTAAAGAAATTGATTCTGACTGATCAGTTAGCAAACCAAAGGCTTTGTCATACTAACACAAAACATTTTCACACTCAACTCACCTGTTGGGTTAGGTAGCTTTAGTAACGTTACCATTAATGGTTTTTAAAGAAAAAGTGACTGGACTTCATGTCTTCTTACTTTTTATTCAAACATTTCACCTTCCATCCCAGGTGCTTCTCAGGAGTTAAGATGTCACTTTTTTATGTTCAGAACGGTTTGTTGAACATGAATTCAGAGTTTTTTTTTCAAACAAATAAAAGTACGTTTGAAAAGACAGTCTTGCCTGATTTGTTGATAGTTGCCCTCTTCTTTTTTCCAGACGAGAGAATAATTCTTCAACACTTTGTTAATTTTCTCCCTACAAGAAAAAAAAAAACACAACTTCATTTAATTATGACATGATCACTAAAGGAAAAGCTGCAACAGCTTGTTCTCACCTGCAGTCTTTAAATGAATCAGAGGACTTGGGGGAACTTTTCTTTTGCGGATGTTGTTGCTGAGAGTCCTTATCACTGTGACACGACAGAAGAAACAAGCTTACAGCAGTCAGTTTAATGGAGAAAGTAGAAACAAAGTTTCCTACACTTGACAACACCCTCACTGCTGGTTTGTGTGTTCTAAGAAAAAAAAACTAAGGGGTGCTACGTGATACAGTGTCTGTGTGCGTGCACGAGTGAGCGCATGTGTGCTTGTGTGCATCAAGTAAGACTACCTTGGTAGTATTATTATTGGATTTTTGTGAGATGATGAATGACAATCATAAGACTTTATTAAGTTCTGTTTGTTATTTAACAAGAAGAGTTCCTCATGGGGGCAGCAGTAGCTCAGGAGGTAGAGCGGGTTGTCCAGCAACTGGAAGGTTTGATCCCAGCTCTGGCCAGAGAGTGCTGCTGGTGGGGACTGGAGGGGTCGAGGGCATCTGTGCATGGCAACCTCGCTTCTGTCAGTGTGCCCCAGGGCAGCTGTGGCTACATTGTAGCTCATCACCACTAGGGTGTGAATGGATGAATGATACACTCTGACTCTGAAAGGTGCTATACAAGTACGGGTCATTTCTCATAAATGTGGAACAAAAGCTTTCAAGTAACATTCATTCTAAAAATCCCAACAATTGCATTTTCACCTAGATGTTTCATGTTTGTCCTCCTCCTTCGCCCAGCAAATCTTTATTTCTTTATTCGAACTCAACCTGTGACACATAAGCACATCCATATAGAAAGTGAGGTCTGTAAACACAGCAGTGCTGATATGACCTGATTTATGATGGACAAATACTGCGATGTCTTTGACAACAACGTTTGCATTAGTTCGACCTGCAGTCTTTACAGGAATCGGTGCCTTTGATTTGTGGATGCTGCTGGTGAGAATTCCCATCACTGTGAAAATCACAGAAAAACAACAAAAGATCAGTAAGTAAACATAACAGTAAAGATGTGCTACGTTCAACTGCTTCACCACTGCTGTTTAGGAACACCTATTTAGTTTAAGTCTGTATGTGAAAGAATCTGAAAAAGGACAAAATGTGGCCAAAAACTTTGTGACATCACAGAAAACCCAAGCAATGCATAAATATTAGTGTCATCTGCAGACGTGAAAGTGACAAAATAGTCAACATATAATTTTTGAATGTAGTTTATATGTTTAAATACGACATTACATTAGCTTGTGCACGAGTAATGATGTTGGAGAAATCTTTATTGCAGGAGAGCAGTTTTGTGTCATTATGTTTATTTTCTGACATTTTGTTTGCAGGCAATAAGTCACTCTTTCAGTTGGGAAACAAGGGTGCTTCTTTTGGGGGTGGGTGGTATGTGAGCTATTGTAATGAGCTCCAGATGTTAGGAGAGATTGGTGACTGCTTTTAGACTCTTAATTTTAAAAAAGTAATAATAGTAGTAATAAAGGAAGTTGTGCATCAGTTGCACGTCTATATCAATACAGAAGAATGGAGCATATTTAATATTGGCAGTTGTTGCAGGACGCTTTGTGACTGAATCTTTGGAACTTGATTCTGAACACACAGCAACTCAGAACAGGCAGCAGCAAGGAACAAACTGTACAAGTCCACAGAAGCGGACCTGGAAAAAAACATGCATTTTTATATTTCAGCCAGGAAAACCTCTAAAAATTATTCTTGTAAATTAATGCTTATAAAACTAACTGGTCATGTGGGATGGGCATGGTTTTTCAACACAAGACCCTGAGAAATCTGACACTGGCACCATAAATAAAACATGGTGGTTGCTGTTAACAGTTTTTTTAGGCCCGAGCAGCGAAAGCGCTGCGAAGGCCTCTTGTTTTTGCTCTGATTATTAGGCCCGAGCAGCGAAAGCGCTGCGAAGGCCTCTTGTTTTTTTGCTCTGTTTATTCTTTCTTTCTTTATTATTCTTAGCCCGCTTTGAACGGCTTTTTGGGGACCTTAACATACCCCAAAACTCACAATATTTTGCACACTTGTCAGGCCTGGTGAAAAATTTGATATTTTAAAGGTCCCAAAAATATCGCAAAGAAAATGGCTGAACAGCGCCTCCTACAAAATGAAAAAAAAAAACCCTCTCCATAAAGCTTAGTTTATCATACAGTTATGAAATTTGGTACACTTATAGTACTCAACAGTCCGCACAGAAAAGTCTCTTGCAAGCATGGTCAATATTAAACAGGAAGTCGGCCATTTTGGGTTGAAATGGCGATTTTTTTGCCGTTTTGGCCGTTTTTAGGGTCCGTTTCTGATTGGATTGCTCGATCATTTTTTGCACGATCGTCTCAAATATTGTGTAAAATTGCTCAGAAGAGATGGGCGAACAAAATGAGACAGTAAAATTGACTTTTCGTAAATACTGAAGGGGCGGGGCCAAGCCTTGAAGTTTGACTACTCGCCAAAAAAATTTTAAATGCTATAACTTCATAAATGAATGGAATAGAGTTACCAAACTTTCTGTGGTCATTCGTCATCCACCCACAAAGTAAATTGAATGGTCGAATGATGACATCACACAAGCCCCGCCCCCTCAGGACCAAAAAGGTCAAGTTTTACTGTGAAAGGTCCCAAACTGCCCTATTTCACTTAATCACCACAAACTTGTAGCTGGTAACTCAAGACAAGTGGGGGTTGCTTTGTGTCACTTTATGGGAGTTTTTGGCAGAGGGCGGGGCTGTGGCGGCGCGGCGAAGTCAGGCGTACCGCCGTGGCCTTACGTTTGCCTCCCATTTCGTCATTTCTAAAGAAATCATCATGAAACTTCTTGTGAGTGATCCTAGTCCAGCCCCCCAAAACATCTGATGTGAACATCCGGTGAGCGTGGCCTATTGTCTGAAATAGCGCCCCCTAGGACCAGTAAAACTGTCAGCCCCAAGCCATGCTTTGACTGAGGATTACGAAATTTGGTACACTAATGTGATGTATCAGGACCTACAAAAAAGTCTCTTGAAGCCAAGTGCAAAGTCGCACAGGAAGTCGGCCATTTTGGTCCAAGTACGCGATTTAGTGGTTTTCGCACACGCTGTTTGGAGAGTGATGCTCCATCGCCCTTTTCACCAATCGCCTTCAAACTTCTGCTATATACTCTTAAGTCATAGGGGGAAAAATTCAACTGTCGGATTTTTCAAAAGTTGAAAGGTGTGGGCGTGGCTTAGCCTCAAACTTTGACCTGTCGCCACACCACTCTTTTTTTCACAGCTCCCTACTGGACTCCTTTTACCCAATCAGCAGGATTCTCTGGAAAATAGCAGTAGACAACTTGAGGTCACTTGGTCTCCAGTACTGGCAGGTTTCAAGAAAAGGAGGGGCTTTGGGAGCATGACGAAAATCGCCATCACGCCATGGAAATACGTTTGCCTCTCATTTCTTCAGTTATCATGATATCGCTACGGAACTTCTGTTGAGTCATCCTAGTCTGACCCCCAAGAGACATAGATAGCTGAAATATGTGGGCGTGGCCTAATTTCTGAAATAGCGCCCCCTATGACCATTTAAACTAATAGCCCCAAGCCATGCTTTGACTGAGGATTACGAAATTTGGTACACTAATGTAGTGTCTCAGGACCTACAAAAAAGTCTCTTGGAGCAAGGCACAAAGTCGCACAGGATGTCGGCCATTTTGGATCAAGTACGCGATTTAGTGGTTTTCGCACACGTTGTTTGGAGAGTGATGCTCCGTCGCCCTTTTCACCAATCTCCTTCAAACTTCTGCTATACACTCTTAAGACATAGGGGAAAAAAATTCAACCGTCGGATTTTTCAAAAGTTGAAAGGTGTGGGCGTGGCTAAGCCTCAAACTTTGACCTGTCGCCACGCCACTCTTTTTTTCACAGCTCCCTACTGGACTCCTTTTACCCAATCACCAGGATTCTGTGGCAAATAGCAGTAGAAAATTGAGATCACTTGGTATCCAGTACTGGCAGGTTTCGAAAAAAGGCGGGGCTTTGGGAGCATGGCTAAAATCGCCATCGCGCCATGGAAATACGTTTGCCTCTCATTTCTTCAGTTATCGTGATATTGCTACTAAACTTCTGGTGAGTGATCCTAGTCTGACCCCCAAGAGAAATAGACAGCTGAAGATTGTGGGCGTGGCCTATTTTCTTAAATAGCGCCCCCTAGAGCCGTTAAAACTGTCAGACCCAAGCCATGCTTTGACTGAGGATTACAAAATTTGGTACACTAATATGGTGTCTTAGGACCTACAAAAAAGTCTCTTGGAGCCAAGCGCAAAGTCGCACAGGAAGTCGGCCATTTTGGTCCAAGTACTCGATTGAGTGGTTTTCGCACACGTTGTTTGGACAGTGATGCTCCATCGTCCTTTTCACCAATCTCCTTCAAACTTCTGCTATTTACTCTTAAGACATAGAGGAAAAAAAATTCAACCGTCAGACTTTTCAAAAGTTGAAAGGTGTGGGCGTGGCTAAGCCTCAAACTTTAACCTGTCGCCATTACATTACTTGACTTAATAACTCCCATGTGCATGATCAGATCTATATCAAATGTTGTCTGTGTGATCACTGACCACATCTTAAGACAACGACAATGTGGACAGCTGACATCACCTAAGCCCCGCCCCCTGACAATAGGAAGTCTATTGTTTTATGGTGAAATGCCCCTATTTGTCCCCTCTAATTTAGTGAACATGACACTAAGGTCATACACTGTCTTCATGATGTTGTAATGACCATTCAGATCTGATAGCTTTCCAGAAAGGGAAGGGCTTTGATGCCATGGTGAATGCTGGCGTGACACCATGACCTTACATTTGACTGTAACTTCCACAAACGGCCTCCGATTTGCCCAAAACTGAACATGGCAATGAATAATCATGCCCTTTAGCCAATGAGGCACAAACTGTTGGTGAATGTTATATAATGTCACCAAAGCTGACCTCAATGGGACTTTTCTGTAGTTGGTCACAGCGCCCCCTACATAACGTTATCCTTCGGTAACTTTAAAAAACATGGTCAGAATAGCATTAAAGTTGGTCACTGTCATCACACCACCAGTGTGGTAAAAATAGAGGATTCCCTAGTGGTGAGACAAAATATAATGGTGGGCTCAAAGGGGATGCTGAGTCAGGGTGAGGTGCGGACGAGGTGGCCGTTAGCAGTTTCTGGTGTCGGGGTGGTTGACGTTTCTGTTTCGCAGATGTAGCCTGGTGCCCTGGGCTGCCGCCAAGGCCGGAGCGGCGCGGAGCTGCGAGGGCCGAACGACGCTGCTTGCAGCTTTAATTTATACATTTATCTTTTAAACACCAGAAGGCCGAGACATTAACCACTTAAATTTCCAGGTTTAGTGAACACAATAGAGTTTTGTACCATTGGCGGGACACTGAAATTCTTGGGGGTTAATGAATGACTGAATGAATACGTTTATTTTTGAACACGCATCCATAATCCAACCTATTTTCACATTTCCCATGCATACACACACACATATATGTGACTCTGCGGTCCCCCCTTTTAAATAAGGGAACCACCACCCCAGTCTGCCAGTCCAGTGGGACTGCCCCCGATGTCCACTCGATATTTCAGAGCCGCGTCAGCAATCACAGCCCCACAACATCCAGAGCCTTAAGGAACTCTGGGCAGATCTCATCCACCCCTGGAGCCTTGCCACAGAGGAGCTTTTTAACCACCTCAGTGACCTCAGCACCAGAGATTTTAGAGGCCAACTCAAAGTCCCCAGACTCTGCTTCCTCACTGGAAGATGTGTGTGGGATTAAGTAGGTCTTCGAAGTATTCTGCCCACCTATCCACAACGTCTTGAGTAGAGGTCAGCAGCACACCGTCCCCACTATGGATAGTGTTGTTAGCACACTGCGTTTCCTCCCTGAGGCACCAGATGGTGGACCAGAATCTCCTCAAAGCTGTACGGAAGACTTGCTCCATGGTCTCATCGAACTCCTCCCATGCCCGATTTTTTGCCTCGGCGACCACCCGAGCCGCATTCCGCTTGGACTGCTGGTACCCGTCAGCTGCCTCTGGAGTCCCACAGGCCAAAAAGACCTGATAGGACTCTTTCTTCAGCTTGACAGCATCCCTAACCGCCGGTGTCCACCAGCGGGTTCGGGGGTTGTCACCACGACAGGCACCGACGACCTTGCGACCACAGCTCCAGTTGCCCGCATTAACAATGGAGGCACGGAACAGGATCCATTCAGACTCAATGTCCCCCGCCTCCCTGGAACATTTTGGAAGTTCTGTTGGAGGTGGGAATTGAAGCTCTTTCTGACAGGAGACTCTGCCAGACGTTCCCAGCAGACCCTTGTGATACGTTTGGGCCTGCCTGATCTGACCAGCATCCTCCCCCACCATCTGAGCCAACTCACCACCAGGTAGTGGTCAGTCGACAGCTCCACCCCTCTCTTCACCCGAGTGTCCAAGGCATGCGGCCGCAGGTCAGATTAAACAACAACAAAGCCGATCATGGAGCTGCGGCCTAAGGTTTCCTGGTGCCAAGAGCACGTATGGACACCTTTATGTCTGAACATTGTGTTCATTATGGTCAATCCATGACTGGCATAGAAGTCCAATAACAAAACACCACTCGAATTCAGATCGGGGGGGGTGGGGGTGGGGGCTTCCTCCCAACCGCACCTCTCCAGGTCTCACTCTTGTTGCCCACGTGAGCGTTAAAGTCCACCAACAGAACGAGGGAGTCACCAGAAGGAGCGCTGTCCAGCAACCCCTCCAAGTTCTCCAAACAGGGTGGGTAGTCTGAACTGTAGTTTGGTGCATAAGCACAGACCACAGTCAGAACCTGTCCCCCCACACGTAGGCGGAGGGAGGCTAACCTCTCATTCACTGGGGTAAACCCCAACGTACAGGCACAAAGATAGGAGGCAACTAGTATGCCCACCCCTGCTTGGCACCTCTCAGTGGGAGCAATTCCAGAGTGGTAGAACGTCCAACCCCTCTCAAGGAAACTGGTTCCAGAGCCAGAGCCAACTATATCTAGTCGGAACCTCTCAACCTCACACACCAACTCAGGCTCCTTCCCCATCAGAGAGGTGACGTTCCATGTGCCAAGAGTCAACTTCTGTAGCCGAGGATCAGACCGCCAAGGTCCCCACCCTCAACTACCACCCGTCACACACTGCACCCGACCCCTTTGGCCCCTCCCACGAGTGGTGAGCCCATAGGAAGGGGGACCCATGTTTCCTCTTCGGGCTGTGCCCGGCCGGACTCCATGGGTGAATGCCTGGCCACCAGGTGCTCGCCAACGTGCCCCACCTCCAGGCCTGGCTCCAGAGGGGGGCCCCGATGACCCATGTCCGGGCGAGGGAACACAGTTTCCATTTATATTCAAATTCAAAGATACTTTATTAATCCCAGAGGGAAATTAGAGTTTCAGTACACACAATTCAGAGATCAGACATACTGTACATAGGCAAGACACATGACGAGAATTGGTGACTGTGGTCATTTGCAACCCTGAGCTGCTCTACCTTAATAGAGATCAGAGGGGTTACCTGAGGATTGGTTCAGGTGGAGGGAAAAAAGGCACTTCAGAGTTACCCTCCACAGGGAGGGCAGCTTTGCTATGCAAAAATAAATAAATAAAATAACACCTCAGACAGGGATGCAACAGACTTCAGACATCACACAACATAAGTGTCCACTAGGTGGGGTGGTGGGTTTGGGACTATCCACACTTCAGTTCCTGCAGCCACGATAAGCAGCGCACATCACTTCAGTTTGAACAGGGGAAGGAGGTCGGTGAGGTTTGGAGTGTGCAGTGACTCCAGGAACAATTCTCCGGCCTTCACAGCCCAAAGTCCCGCCCAGGCTGGGATGGTAGACAGAGTTGCCATGTCGACGGCATTCCACATTTCTTCGGGGGGTATTCGTTGGAGCCTTACAGGCTCAAGGGCACCAGATTCAGATTAGAAATTGTTTTGGGGCCAGACAGAGATAATTTCCTCTGTGTCTTAGAGTTCCTTGGTCCTCAACCTCTCAAAATCCCAATAATGGCGTACAATAAACTATCACAATCCGTGCTGATTCATCCACTTTCTCCTTGATGGCATCCATTATTTGTGCCAAAGCATGAATCTTGGCCAAAGTTCCAAGCTTACGATTCATCTCGACATTTATGTGAGCCTGTGAATTCACAGATCGGTGCAAACCATCTCTGAGCTCTGGGAGCAAGCCAATATTTCTCGACAGCTCGTTAATTTTCCGGTAAGCCAGGAAGCCTCCTATAATTCATCATAAGAGGTCTTCGGGCTGCTCTTTGTCTGATCCCTCACCTAGGACCTGTTTGCCATGGGTGACCCTACCAGAGGCATTAAGCCTCAAATAACTTAGCTCCTTGGATCATTGAGACACTCAAACCCCTCCACCACAGTAAGGTGACAGCCCCGAGGTAGGCTAAATCCATTTTACAGTATTTACACTGGACTAGGTTTTCCGCCGCACGACGTAAAAAATGGTCCCACATCTTTGACATTTTCTGTGTCTTTTTCACACTCACCGGGGTCCACGTTGTCAGCCATGGCTTAAGAGAAAGTGAAGTTATATTCGCTACTCACATGTGCATTCAGTCTAGACTCTAGAGTATATGTGCGTGACTCATTTCGGTCCGGGTGAAACATGACCCCAGTCAATTGCAAAGCCATGAATTAATTAAACATGAATTAAACGAAGCCTCAACGCAGGGAATTTGACTCTAGGCTTTTTTGTACTCGAATTATTCGAGGTACTCGAGGAATCGTTTCAGCCCTACTTTGTTTTATCTTTGAAGTCTTATTCTCTGTCGTGATAGCTTGTTAGTCTGTTATGATTACTGTATCAACTGTGAGGTGCTTTGGTCAACTCACACAATGCTTTTAAAAACACTTGATAAATAAACTGGTGTGGTATCCTTTTTCCCAGAATGAAATAAAGACCTTATCTAAAACACTGGAATAAATGTGTATACCAGAGTAATGTTTCACAAATTTGGTTCTTTTTTCACACGGAAAAGGGTTGTTTTACCTTTTTTGCTGACATTTGGAAAACGCTGTATGGAAATGCTACATGGAAGACATACTAAAAATCACACCAAAAAGACAAGCAGAGACACTAACAGGACACTTGAACAACATAAACGACACAAACAACATAAAATGTACAAATGAGGAAGAAATAGAAGGCAGCATAACATTTTTAGGCATGAAAATAATAAGACGAAAAGACGGAACCCTGAATATAAACACACACAGGAAGCCAACACACAGACCAATATTTATTATGGACATCAACACATCCTTCTGTACATAAAATGTCAGCGATCAGAACATTACACCACCGAGTGAACATAATAACAGAAGAATGAGACCGTAAACAAGAAAACCAACATATACAAAATGCTTGCAATTTGCTGGGTTCCTTATATAGGAAACTTTTTACTGATTGGCTTAATGAACTGACCTGTATTGAAATGTTTATTATGTGAAGTACCTTGAGACAACTCTTGTCGTGATTTGGCGCTACATAAATAAACTTAAATTGAACTCAATTGAATATAAAGACCTGCGGATACCCAATATGGGCAATAAACAAAGGAGAACAACAAACAACAACAGAAAGAAAAGAACATCCAAAACAAAGAACCAGAAATCCTGAAAAAACAGAACCAAAACGAGTGATGACCCTTCCTTACATCAAAGGTATTACATTAAAAATAATAGCAAAAATGAAAAAACACAACACAAACACACCAACAAAACACACACAACAGTTAGAAAAAGACTAGTACACCAAAGGTGAAGATATCAGCAGGACATAAGTGTGGAGTCATATACGAAACCCCATGCAGACTCTACAATAAAACATACGTAGGAGAAACCGGACGCCAACTCAACACACGAACATTAGAACATAGAAAGGTGTGTGAGAAAGAAACAAGTGGAAGACACACAAGAGCAGCAAAACAAGAAGCAGAAAGTACAATAAAGAAATCAGCCGTAACAGATCACTGCACTAGGGAGAAACATATAATGGACTGGGACAACACAACGATCATAACTACATCAAAAATACATGGATTAAGGAAGCCATAGAAATAAGTACACTTGGACACACAACCATGAACAGAGACGATGGAGTCTATACATTGGATCACAAATAGGAATGTGTCATCGAGGAGGAGAGCGCGGGCAGCAGAGGGCAAGTACACCTAGCTGCAGCACGCAGAAAGGGACAGCGTCAGGCCAGTTGTCAGACCCATACCATATTTGGAAAATGCAACAGTTACATTCTGGAACTGAAGGGGGTGCTGTCGAGTCAGTTGTCAGACCCATATGAACTTTGGTTGTTACTAGTTTTAAACTGTTTTTAATACGCTGTTCCATGTTCAAATTAAGCAAGATAAATATAATTTACTACACGACAAGGTCTGAATTTATAGGGAGCCTAAGTCACACCTATCTACTTCCGGCTCATGGGTCCCTGGAAGAGCGAAAAAATGAATGCAAGTCAATGGAACTAAAAGCGCTATTTTCTAATTCCGCTTGTATGATGTCCGTGAATTTTAAAGAAGCATTTTGATACCGGCGGGAAACGAACAGGGAGAAATGCTATTTTAGGTTTTGTGTGAAAATAAGTCCATGACTACAAATGCGCTTCACCAAAGAGACGTCATCAAACCAGACACAGAGAAAACTGAGGGAAAAGGGCTGTAGGTTCAGCGAACTTCAAATCTTTCCCACAGGAGGAAAGAACCACTTATAAATCTGGCCATGTGGTAAGTAGCAGCTATGCTAGGGGAGAGGAGATTAAGGAGTGATGTTACATATGTGACGTACTGATGCAGCCATGCTAACTACGAACTTTTACAAGCTGATAAATCACAGTTTACATGACTGGCATGGTTGAAACACCCATCATTACTTTTCATTTCAATT